TTGCAAAAGAGCGCTTCTGCTGGCTGAGTTAGGGGGGCAAGGATCATATATATATATATATATATTTATTTGTTTTTATATAGTTCTTTTAGATTGTTCCCCAAACAGGTTTACCTTTGAGGGGTTCTTACTCCTTTGAAAGAGGTGCATGTCCGGGCCGCATGATTTGTCTCCGGGTCTACGTTCCTGCCACACTGTCTCCACTCGCTTGCGGGTGCTTTGGCCGCATGATTTTCCACTTGTCTCCCATTTGTCTCCCGCTTGTCTCCCACTGTCTCCAGTCCCTTGCGCCCCCTTATCTCCAGTACACTGGCCGCATGATTTTACACGGGTTTCCTACTTGTCTCCCTTCTGTCCCGGTACACTCTGGGCGCTCTGGGCCGCGTGATTCTGCACTATATACACTTGTCTCACATGTCTCCCTTCTTGTTGCACTTGTCTCCGCTTGCCTCAGACTACTCTGGATTCACTTTGCAGGGGTTGTCTCTTGCTTGTCTCCTCATTACATACTCTTGGCCTTGGCCGGGTTCGCTTGTGGTTGATAAAGCCACATGTCAGTACAACACAGCATATTGAATAGACTAGCATATGTTCTGTTTTCGTATGAATTGTTGGTCCCGACCTTGAGCCAATTGAGCCAAGCGCTGGAACAAGCCTGGAACTGTTTGAGCCGTTGACTGTTTGACAGTTCGTCTTTGGCTTACTTCATAAAGACACAAACTGTTTGGGGTCTACGCTGGTAAACTTTTGCATAAGAACATTTTCCACTAAACTCTAGCAAGGATTTAGCAGACAAGTTTTCTCGTAAACTTATGAGTCACCAGGCTCATACACAAAACCTTTAGAGCACTTCCACATTCCCAATTGCAACTCCACAAACGGCTTTTGGGCATCAAACTTCAGCTCAAAGTCAAACGGCTTTTGCGTCAAGGTGCCGTGAATGTGTTTTCTTGGAAAATGTTGCCCAGCTGGCAATCCTTGTTGTAGGGGATATGTTTCGTTTTTTGCTTCTCCTTGTCAATCACAATTTGATGTTTTTTGCGTTTCTTCTTGTCATACCACATGTTAAAGAAATCCATGCATGCAGGTATGTCTACGTGGTCTCTGGTTTGCGTGCCACTGCTTCGCCGTGTGACAAGATCTCCAGGTGGGATTTGCAAGCCCATCTTCCGATGGAAACAACACCTTACACATCCATGAACAGAACATGCATGGGTGTGGGGGCTTAGCGCCAAAAGCTTCCCGAAGTTTCCAGGCATCCTGAACCAAATGGTTTAGAATCCTTGACCATAAGAGTTTGCAAAAGAGAAGGGTGAAGAAATGGGCGCTGTGAATCATCGATGGGTTGTGGACTGGGCGATGTGGGCTGCGAGGAAGTTGCACAGCGTTGGAGATATTCCCAGACAATGCAGAAATTGTTCCATCAGGGTTTTTTTCTGGCTGTGCAGTGCAATTGATCTTGTTTTCCGAACGGAAGGGAATCACTTTCTCTTGGAATCATGTGTTCCATGATCTTGTGGCCATTTGGTGAATATACACATGTAGATTGGACTGTGCTTTCTTTGTTTGGAGCCTTTTTCTTGCATACTTTCCGGGAAGTATTAAACTTAAACCAGTTGAACCTGTCGTCAGAACCGAGCGCCCGCCGGTTCAGAAGTACTCCAGTAGGCTCCTCGGACAAATCCCATCTACAAGCTATCTATGCTCACAATCACAGACTTCAGACTTGACTTGAGGTGGAAGAAACTGAGCTGTGGCGCAGGCTGCACAGCATCCTCCCTGGAGGGCGGAATTGGCGAGCAGTTGTCACTTGCATTGGCGAACGAGGAGCAGCAAGGAGTGGGGGGAACGGGTGGAGTGGCGAGGCCATCCCCGCTCGGAAATGGATTTGCACTTTTCCACGGTCCACAGTGCTTGATTTCGCCTCATGTAAAACTGTTAGACGCACGATTTCTCCAGAAAGGCTATTATTTCAGACGATCAATGGATCATTAGACGACAGAAGCGTCCTGCATGGATTCCAGCACCCATGCACCCCTTGCTCCCTCAGTGGTTGTTCCTGCGCGAAGATGGCTCAATAATCTGGCTGCATTCCCTTGACTGTCTCCTTGGCAGGTTGATCAAACTCATCCAAGAAGTAAGACCGTTATTTTTGTTCCTTGTGATTTGGATTACCATGCCCTCCAATCAAGCAGCTAGAACAGCATGTCACTAGCAACGCGTCCAACTCGCTTCAACCTCTTTCAACCACATTGCCACGTAGGTCGGCTAGGTCAGTGTGCCGACCGATTTTCTCGAAGCTGAACATTCTTCACACAAGCTTGTGACGAAGAGATGTGCGGGACATGGAAGTCTTTTCAGACCTTCCTTCCTTGCTTCCTTGCTTCCTTGCTTCCTTCCTTTCTTCCTTTCTTCCTTTGTTTCTAAGAGCGATGGCCTCCCTCCTTGTAGTGATGGCCTCCATCCTAAGAGCGATGGCCTCCATCCTCTTGCCGAGGAGATGTGCGTGACATCGACGTCTTTTGCTCGGGAGTGGATCCGGGCGTGACCGTTCAGGTTCGTGAGGACTTCTTTCAGCACGTCCATGGAGATGAGACGCATGAACGGCAAATGGGGACCGCAGGGGGACGGCAAATGGGGACCGTGTTCAGAGAAATTCGACACGTGTTTTTTCACGGGGAGGCGTGTGTTGTCAACGGTCCAAATCGGACACCTCCAAGATTTGGGAACTAAGAGCTGGACATATCAATATGATGTAAAGGTACAAATGATACACCTGGAGGGCATAGGTATCAAAAAAAAAATAAAAAGAGCATCAAAAAAAAAAACAGGATCAAAAAAACAATAAAAACAGGATCAAAAAATAAATATTCCTTGATAGGCCTCTTCTGCTGCTCTCCTGGCCTTGTGGTCTGCGGGTCCTCTGGTAATGTGGTCCCTTGGTCCTCTGGTCCACTGGTCCTTTGGTCCCCTGGTCCCTTGGTCCTTCAGTCCACTGGTCCCCTAGTCCTCCGGTCTCCTGGTCCTCTGGTCCTGTGCTGCTGCTGCTACTGCTACTGCTACGCTGGTGCTGCTGCTGCTGCGGCTGCTGCTACTGCTACTGCTACTGCTACTGCTACTCCTACTACTACTACTACTACTACTACTACCCCAACCATCCTCAGTGGGCTAGAATATTTTTTTTTGATTCCCTTTTTATTTTTTTTATTGATCCCCGTTGAATATTTTTTTTGATTCTTTTTATATTTTTTTTTGATCCCTTACCCCACCTGGAGATTTGGACATATTTGGAATCCAGGAACCCTTATACTTATATTATATTTCGATATGATCCATCAGATTATGGAACTACCCCCTACAAACACTAAAACGCGTCCGAACCGTGAAGCAAGAGGAACATCAAAACGACGCCGAAGGATGTCCATGTTCATCCAGCGAAGCTCTCCAAATCTCAGCAGTAGACAACCCTCCACTACAGCCAGCTCAAGTAGACAAATCATGGAACAATGAGAAACCTGGGAAAACCCCGCCCGCACAGGAACAGCGTACCAACCATTCGCTGTGTCCAATCGACTCCCCAAAATTGGGGGTCTTGGACGATTTGGTGGTCCTGACTACCCTACAATTCCACCCACCAAACCAACCGATCAGGCAACTACGATTCAGAAACCAAAACAGCCGATTGAGAAACCAAACCAGTCGATTCAGAAACCAAGTTAGACTGTTCAGAAACTAAGCCAAGATAATAGCGTTCCATGTGGATGCAAAGGGCTTTTACACTCAGTCGAGTAAGAAGTAGTGGTGGATGGCAGGAGGAGGGTGGGGTGGGGGGGTGGGGGGGGGGGGGGGGGAAACCATGGCCAAGATAATAACGTTCCATGTGGATGCAAAGGGATTTTACATTCATTCAAGTAAGAATTAGTTTGTCAACAGCATGTGGCTGAACAGAGTGGAGGGTAGGAGGAGTGTGGGGCGGGGGGGGGAATCATGGCCAAGATAATGACGTTCCATGTGGATGCAAAGGGCTTTTACAGGAGTGTGGGGTGGGGGGTGGGGGGGAATCATGGCCAAGATAACGTTTCTCTTGTTGCTTCGTGGAGAGATTTTGCATCGGTGGCACTACCACCACAACCACAACCACCACCACCACCTCCTACTACTACTACTACTACTCCTACTGCTACTGCTACTGCTACTGCTACTACTACTACTACTACCCGAATCATCAGTTTCTTCTTTTTGAACATGTTTTTGGTTTTGGTTTCCGGGTTTTGGTTACCGAACCAGCAGGTTTGGTTACCGAATCAGCGGTTTTGGTTACCGAATCAGCTGTTTTGCTTACCGAATCAGCAGGTTTGGTTACCGAATCAGCGGGCTTTGGTTACCGATTCAGCTGTTTTGCTTACCGAATCAGCAGGTTTGGTTACCGAATCAGCGGTTTTGGTTACCGAATCAGCTGTTTTGCTTACCGAATCAGCAGGTTTGGTTACCGAATCAGCGGGCTTTGGTTACCGAATCATAGATGCCGAATCAGACCGGTTGGTTACCGAATCAGACGCCGACCGTGTCCAATCGACTCCCCAAAATTGGGGTTCTTGGACGATTTGGTGGTCCTGACTACCCTACAATTCCACCCACCATTGATCTATATAATGGTTCTTGCCAGACCTGCTTTGTTTTGCCAAGGACTTGACCGGATTTGTAGATTACAACGCCAGGTCAACCATAGGTTTTTGAACGGAAGGGGCCATGTTTGGTCCAACGACGACGTGGCCGACCTCGTAGGTCCCAGACCGTCGACAGCCGCTGTCGACGCCTCCCATTGGGATTGACCACCCATGGCACCGCTTTCTAAACAGGGCCTGTAAGTAGGCTTGCATGGAAAATGCGGACATATCAACATTGCTGCTTTCCGGCAATTCGGAAGTTGATGGGTGAAACACTTTTCAAATTCACTACAGACTTATTCCTCAGTTGCTTATTCTTTGTGCAATTGCAACTTGTCTTCAGGTTAGGCCCACATTGCGCATGAAACATTCTGTCACCTCAGCACATGCATTGGGTCCAAGGAACAACGTTTACGACTTCACCGATTGGGTTCTCCATCATCCTGGCGGGCCCTCACGAATCACGCAGCCCTCCGACTGTGTGCTGTGTGGAGATGGGGAAGGAAACGTATAATGTGCAAGTCGATGAGAGTTCTGCTTTACACCACAAAGAAAAGGGCAATCGTTTTTCCCCAGATAGCGAGAGCTATTGATATTGTGGTTCTTACTTCAAATATAGGGAGAGCGGCGTGTGTGCGCTTTCCAGCCTGCCCTGCAGGGTGCCGCTGCTGTGTGCGCTTGGGAGCTTGGGTGCTGGTGCTGCTGCAGGCTGCCGCTGCTGTGTGCACTTGGGGCTGGTGCTGTTGCAGCTGGGCTTGGGAGCTTGGCTGCTGGTGCCGCTGCAGGGTGCTGTGCTGTGTGCGTTTGGGAGCTTGGGCGCGGGTGCCGCTGCGGGGTGCCGCTGCAAGGTGCCGCTGCAGTGCGCGCTTGGGGGCTTGGGTGCCTCTGCAGGGTGCCACTGCTTTGTGCGCTTGGGTGCTGGTGCTGCTGCAGGGTGCCGCTGCTGTGTGCTCTTGGGAGCTTGGGCGGTGGTGTCCCTGCGCGCCGCTGCTGAGTGCGCTTGTTATGAAACGTGAGCGAAGAAGCCGCGACAGCTTGAGTGCAATGACTTTGATACTATGTCCGTGTTAAGTCGCAAATCGCACGGCAAGATCCGTGACTTCGTAAGACAGCTGGCAACAGTGAACAAGTGACACATGAACGTTGGGCATTGACCGAACCTTTGTGGAGGCAGGCTTCATCAAAGCGATGGAAGTTCGTACAAGGATCACACACAATAAAATAACACTGTGTCGTTCCGATGTTGCATGCTGTAAGTAAAGCCAAACAACTGGGGCTGAACGCAAAAACACACCCTGCTGGCTTATTTTTAGGCAACCAATGTAGTCAGTTGTTTTTGCTACTTCGGTCTACAGGTCTACACGCATTCCGTTGATAGCAAACCCCAGCATTCCGTTAAGAGGGTCACCCCAGCATTTGGGACGCCAGCGCCTCGGCCTGTGTTTCCAGGTTTGCAAGCACTGGCTTCATTTTGGCCTTCCCCTCATGGCATGGCATGGACCGGTGGGACCGCGACTTGGGTTTGCAGTGTTTTTTTTCTTAAACTTTCTGCGAGTGTTCCAAGTTAGATGGGTTTCTGTTGTCATCAACACACATCGGATCCTTGGTTGATTCCTCAACTGCCCAATCTATGGGCAATCGCAGAGGCTTGGGAGGTGCTTTTTGGCAAGGGTTGTAATGTGTGATATAGTTGCCACCAAGAGTTGTCACCAACACAGGTTGGAATTTCCGTGTTTATGTATGTGAGAGATGGTGGAATCAATTGATCCCAAAGTACGCAGTCAGCTGAGTTCAGGGCAACAAATGAGATCCCTTTGCAGGAAAAGTCTGGATTTAGTGTAATTGATTTTGGAAACTTGAACGTTGTGCTTCCTGAGGTAGGTTTGTTGATTTTCTTGTGGGCATTCACAGGAAGAAATGCTAGGAATTCACATTTCAAAGTCTATTTTAAGGCGTGAAACAAGAACCGTGCTGCTCTTGTTTTCGCAAGGTGGTTTGGCCGCAGAAGTGGTTCAGCCGAACTTCGTTGGAAGATATGGAGAGACGGTCTACTTCCACAACCTCCCAGAGTCCATGCAGACGCCGACTATGGCGTCGTTCTTGGGCGAGTCGAAGCAGGATCTGACGTTCTCAGAATCTGGGCGAATGGCGGACGATGGGCGATGACGGTTTGGCTGGGTGGGATATGCCGAAAGAGGACCGGCGAAGAAAGCGAAAGCATGGTATGGATTATGGACTTATGGATTTTTCTGTGACCAGTACCGAAAGATCCCTTGAGCTCACTGGACCAAAAATCAGCTTTCACTAGCTTTTCGCAGTGTCTTGCCTTTCGGCCAGGCTGTGAAAGTTTCTTTAGACGGGTGCGCCATGTACAATCACGCAGACTGTTCATGATCTACTGACTTCGAGGAGTATTTGTGTGGGCAGTCCCCTCTTGGGGAGAATCAGTAGGTTCTAGCAACCTGGCTGAGTGGTGGGTCAAGTTCGCGTGGACATGCTTCAGTCAACCACCCGCTGTGAGTCCACAAGTTGACTGGTGTAGCGTAGGATGCGTGGGTGGACCCAAGCCTGAAAAAAGGTTGTCAATCGTCAAGAGTGTGATTCTGGGCCGCTGGAATCATCATGTCACCGCCGGGCGCCATCGTGCCATCGTGTGTTTCTCGCCCCTCATTCAGTGCCTCGGAGCGACCCAACTCAGCCCTTGTTGACGGACGTTTGGGTGTTGTTTGTTGTTCGCATGATCTCGGAATTGGCATCTTGGCTTGGCGTCTTGGATTTCTGCTCCGCGCACGAAGTGGTGGGTTCGGATTTGTCCAGGAAGTCTGTGGCTCTCCTGGGGAAGTTGCCAATGACCCGTGGCGTGGACACCAGTATACCTTCCTCCAGGATCACCATGGAGCCTTGGACGAAACCTACCCAACAACGAAGGCAATCCAACTTCGCAAGTAGGACACTTTGGTGGGGCAATGATTTTTGGCCTTTTGGATATCTGCAATTCACAATCGGCGTGGACATCATCCTGTGTTCTCTTCATGCTTTCCAGTGCATTTTTTTGGGCGAAATAACACGCGGTTTCACTCCGTAGAATTTGTGTTGTCTATTTGTCATCTTGAGATTCACATTTCAGGACGCTTTAGCATTGCCAAGTCTTAGCAGGTGGATCTATGTGCACATCCACGGTGCCAGGAGTTTTGCACATGACACATCCCCCTGTTGTATGGAAGTACTCCGACAAACAACCACACTGTGTACATACGCGATGAAATGGAGATCGCTATTATATAGGTTGGAGGCCATCGCTACTAGGTTGGAGGCCATCGCTCTTAGGTTGGAGGCCATCGCTCTTAGGTTCGAGGCCATCGCTATTAAGTTGAAGGTGAGGATAGTAGACTTATTAATTCTGAGGACTGCAGGCTGTATGATGGCCATCACACGATTGAGAACGTGTTGGATTCAGTGCAGCTGCAGTAGCTGCAGCATCATCACGACCCCTATCATGAAAAATTTGACCATTCAAGTCTGATGAGCAATTTGTGGAGCTATCATCAACCTGATAGTTGATAGTTGACGGCGATTTTGCTAAGGTGATTCCAACATCGACGGTGACACCGACTTCGCCATGATCGATAGACTGGGTAAGACGACTGAACCTCGCAGCCAAGGAGAGTCATCGAGGAGAGACATTTGTGACGCATGCACGCTATGTATGACACATTGTAAGACACATGTGTATGTGTGCGTCATGTTTGTAAAAAGGCCACTCCCAAGCATCTGACAGCCTGAACTCTTTGGTCAACCCCAAAAAAAGATCACCAAGAGGGAGATTCTCATCCGCGTTGATGAGCAAACACCGCGTTATAAGAACCAGGGTTCAGGGCTTGAAGGGCTTGAAGAACGGTTGAACCAGGTGAAGCCTCGAACTGCTTTCAAGAGCAGCCTTGCAGTGTCTACTGTATGAGTCTGTATGAGAGTAGGCAATGAGCGCTCATCGAATGATTTCGCCTCACTTGAACCAGTAGATACTTTGTAATCTTTGTAAAGTTTTTTGGCGACTGTTAGGGCCCCGTATTTTCCCGGTCAAGCTTGCCATTCCACCCTGCCCCCTGGTGACACGAAGCAATCCAAAACAGCCAAAAGGTATGGACTATGCATGCGCTCTATGCCAAAGACCAGCTGCGCCAACGCATGGCCTGGGCCTTGGCACAGATCTACGTCATTCGTGCACAGCATGACCCGGAGGCGTTGATTGGGTCTTTGTGGCTGGGAAGTGGGTGTTGACTCGACGACTCGTGAAACATGGGCAGATGAAGCGGAGGGGCGACGTTCTTTCAAGCGAAGAAAGAAACTCTTCCGAAGCGAATCCATCGATTCGAACACACATCAATTGTATACATATTGGCATGGTGGGCCGTGACTTCCAACTCAGGAAATGCGCGCAGCGGTAAGGTTCAATGGTTTGGCACAAGAATGCAATGGTTTCCATCGGGAAAAGCTACGCACGCTTCCCACGGTAGCTCTCAACTCTACTAGAATGCAAACTATTGCAAACTGACATGCGAAATCGAAAAGCAGGTTGCATGCTCAACTTTCTGCTTCCGAGCTCGTGCAGTGCGAAAGACATGCACAAAGCGACCTAGACGGCGCTGTGCAATGCAGCGCAAACGGCTGTCTTTCCCATTCTCCATCGGCTGTGCTCGGCTGTGCTCGTTTGCGCCATTCACTCGTTGGTGTCGGTCTTCTTGCTCTCCGATTCTCCTTTTCTCCATTCTCCGACAGCCAAAAAGACAGTCGTTCCACAATCGATGCGGAATGGGCATCACTGGCTCATCACTGGTCCTTTTGTCTCCTGGGCCCCGAACGCATCAGCTTGCGGTTCTTTTCCACCGTTGGGTCGCGAAGGATTCCGAAGTCGACTGCCGGTGTCGGTGGCGGGGCGCTTTGCCAATGCAAGCTGATTCAAGATGGGCTCATCATCATCATCATCATCATCAACCTGAACAAGAAAAGAAGCAAACTCCTTGCCTTTGGGTCGATTGAAGCTTCTGTAAAATTCTTAGCATCTACGTGGAGTGTGAATTTGCTCCCCCTTGTGAAACAATTCACCAAGATTACAAAAAGACATTGAAAAGGAGTGGTGCTGCTTGAGAGGTCTTTCAAGTCTACTTGCCCAACAGCATCCTAGGCAGTGTCCCTCAACAAACTGACAACAAGCAAAGCTCTCTTGACTTCAGCTTCAGCTAATGCGTCTTCCATTGCAAAGAATACAGTGACGGTAGCCGTAGCGATGACGGTAGCTGCGATGTCCGGCCTGCTTCAACCCTTCACAAAAAGCTGCTGTAGCCAGGCCACTACTCAAGCCACCTCCATTCGCCCTTGTGGGTAAAGGAGGTGCTGGAACATCCACAGCTGCTACCGCTGCGCCTGCTGCAGTTGCAGCCTTTGTGGCGCCTTAGTTGACGGCGTTGACCTGACATGATTTTATAACTGTCCTGCCAAACGCGATCTCGTGGATCTCCATCTCAACATCTAGGTTGACCTGAAGAGTTTGTCAAAGATGTAGGGCCGCCTGGACATATTCTGAAAGGCTCCGCTCACCTCCGCTGGGACCGACTGAGCCGAAAGAAGTTCCAACCGCTGACCGACTTGCTCAGTGGAACGGGACTGGGCACGGAGGTGCTTGGGGTTTGAGGGACGGGCGACCCCGGCGCATACAGACATACAGATTCGCATGGAACATGCAGCTGGCAGGTGTGTGTCTTGATGCTGACTCAAACGGAATGCAAACTGCAATGTTGGGTTAGCGCATTGACACATGTCTTATTATTGGAATCTTGCACCACGACACCAGTCCTGCAAGTAGCAGGACTCAAGTGTAGGAGTTTTCCAACACATTGACCACCAATGAGCAAAATCAAGTGAGTCAAAGTTGTAGTTGGTGACACGCGATTAAGCAAGCTAACATAGACAATGAGAACAAACAGCCGCAAGACAATATTTTTTCAAATCGTTTTATATCTTCTCCCTGGCTGCGGCTGCGTAGTTAGTGCGGTATGATCCCCAGGCTTGAACGAGTCGATCTCGTTGTTCGTGGTCCTATGGTGATATCATCGTCCGATGGAGAATTGACGGTGGGTCCTGGAATGAAAGGGGCGATGGAATTCCCACTTTGACAGCCCCTGGGTTTGGCTTGGCTGCTGAATTTTCGTTAGATCAATGCAAGTGTCCACATGGAGCTGGCAACAAATTCCCATCACAGCTGCTAGTTTCCACGTGCGGAAATGACAGGTGGAGGCGTGGGTGAACTATTACGACATCTTCGTGCGCCACGCCTTCGGGAACCTCCGCGATATCCTCCGCGAAGTCACCTACAACGCTGAGATGGGAGGCTTTTTGAACGCCCGAGGGAACCGGGCCAAGGATCGCACTGGCAGGGAACCCAACGAGAACTACGCTCGCGAGGCGGATCGACGGAGTATGTGCCCAACCCGGAGGAGTATCTCCGGTCCGACCTCAGTCGGTGGATGGTGAAATATAGATTGTGATGTCGGGATCGGGGTATGGTTTCGCAAAAGAAACTCTTTTGTCATCCTTCAACCATTTTAGGATCTTTTGCAACATCCCTTGTTTCGTCGTGGGCTGATTGTCTCCTTTGTATGCGTTTCTTGTTTTTGCTTGGCAATTCAGCAGAAGTAGCACGTAAGCCTGAGGTGTCAAAGAACCCTCCTTCACGGCCTTTGCCAGGTGATGCAATTATTTACCATAGGCCTTTGGAAACTGAATCCGGATGGCTCTTGGAAGTTGAATGAGGAAGGTGAACCCATCGCCAGCTATGGTGGCTTGGACTGACAGGCCCGCTGAAAAAGCGTCAGGTTTGCTACTTCATTTCATGCAGCAAACGAGTTTTTGCGCAATGAACGCCGCAAGGTGTGAATGATGTGTTGGGAGGTTGATCGGTTGGAGGGTTGGAGATAAGGATACTTGTATGTAGGCGCAGGTTCCATGAGTTTCATGGTGTGTTTAAAAAATGCATGTTTTACAAGATCCTTGTGACTAACAGCATCTCTGTTAAAAAGCAAACCGATGCTTATGAAGGAGACGGACGGAGGACGGACAGGAGGACGGACTCCGGAGGAGATTCTTCCGATCGATCCTCCGAGTCGATTTGCTTTGCTGGGACTGGGACTGGGAGGTGCTTAGGGGACCGGAAGCTTCCCAACATTGGCCAGTGAGGCCAATGTTGTGTACCATGTGTTCACAATTCACAACATATCTACCAACGGCTGTCCACCCAATGCAATTCGGAATGCGATGGCAAACGAAAAAAGGTTCATCTAGGGTGTATGCTCCTCGAGGGTAAGCACCAATTCAATCCAGTTCTTCTTACTCTGTTTGCTGCTACTTTTGTTCGAGAAGGGGCGCCTTGCCTCGACATGGGATTGTCGCGGACCAAGATTACGTGTAGTGCAACTTATCATGATCTGATTGTGCAACTGAAACAAGGGCTTTGGCTAAGGGCAAGAGGACATCATGAACTTCGCCCGGGTGTTCACTGGCCTCGACTACAACATCCGCAGGGGCAATATAGAACACACCGACGGTAGGAACAGGACTGATGTGGGAGGAATGGCTGCTGGTGTCAGGAATCAGGAACAAAAGGCAATTCATGTTTAAGTTCGAAAGGAACCAAACAACACCGCTATTACTGTAGGTTGGAGGCCATCGCTAGTTGGTTGGAGGCCATTGCTATTAGGTTAGAATCGTCACGGCAGGAACCAGGAAGGAGTGGAACAGATTGGGCGTCAGCTGAGCCAGTGCAGTACTAAATTATTGGCCTTTAGTTGTAGCTGAGGCGGTAGGGAGGATGGTGACTTCAAGCAAGTTGCCCATGGTAAGTTATAAGTAGGGCTAACGCCCTGGTGCCGCCGACCCCTTTTTTTGGGGGCAAGGATCGATACAAAACGTAATAGGCGGAGCAAGATAGGACGTGGTAAAGGAGCTCATCCAAAGAAGACAACTAGTGGGGGAGTTCTTCTTTGTTAGGGGGGGGTATGGGGACTTCGGTGCACCGTTGGCCGTATACTATTTACTCCTGCAACTGGAAAGACCAGCAAACAGGTGGATTTTGTGACAGAGAGGGAAAGCACCGCGGCTTTAGCTTTAGTTGCTTCGGATTCCTCAATCAGTTGTATTAACAAACAACATTTCGCCCGGAAACCGGGCGAAGCACGGAAATCCGACGCTCCTCCCCCCAGCTTTGGGGCGCTGTTGCCACGATTGGAGCCACAGTCTTGCAATCATAAGCTCATTCCCCTGCTTACCTGGTGAGATGCACTTGATTTTGGTGTTCAGATCAGCCTTTGCAGGTCCAAGTGGAGTACTTCCATCACCCCAGTAGAACAGTCATTTAAATGGAGAGAACTTTCTCACCATTCATTTGTTTGGATTTCCTTGGAGCAAAACCCTGCTGTTGATGGGAGAAATCCTCAAACTGAACCCCACCAAGCACCAAAAAATGTGGTGTGGGATTTCCATAATATGGACTTCCTCTGAAACTAAATGATGTGGTGCAGAACGTTGCCCTTGAGCACCAGAAAATGAGGTGGGTCTGGGTCATGCAAGATCAAGAAAAATATATAAGTCTTCTGAAGCTTTTGGTTTTGGCATCACACTCCGTCGTCCTTCTCGCAGCTGTGTGGCTAGTCAGCATTCCTACCTTCGTGGATGAGATTTGTCCCCATGGATATGGACAACCCCGGTGTCATTAGAGCAATAAAAGGACCGGATAACCCCACATGTTAAGCTTGTCAGAACTAGCAACGAGAAGTAGAGACTGAGAAGGATAGAGGACGGAAAGATTCTGGACGATAAAAGTAAATGAGATGAGTGATGTGTGATGAGTTGTATGTGATGAGTGGTAGTAATGAGAAGTAGAGACTGATCAGAAAAGAGGACAGCAAGATACGACTGATCAGAAAAGAGGACAGCAAGATACAATAAAGGTGAATGAAAGAGACAGTGAGGTGAAAGAAGAAGTAGTGTATGATTGAGAGAATGAGTGAGGGAATGAGAGAGACAGAGTGTGCGGGTGCATCTTCCATTGCGTGTCCGTTTAATATGAGTTTTGCAGAAGAAGTCCAGCGCGCCAGTTCGTTGTGCACTGCCACGTAGTGCAGAGTATCTGGCAAAGGCGATGGAAGATTGAAAGAGAAAAAGTGAAAGGATCACTCTATGTGACTGTGACAGATTGTAATCATTAATCCGAGCCGTCCTGTGGTTGCCCTCGCGCATCGTAGCGAGCAGAAGGTCGAGTCTAGCCTGACAACGTGCCGGAGCACACTTGGTCAGTAAACCTGGCCGTTCGATGCCAACACCCCGCACACACGACTTCAGACGTCACACCGACTTCAGACGTCGCGGATCGTCTGCCTGGTCGGAACACGAAAGCTAAACAGTCGCCGATCTCTCAGAAATCTGAAGCTAAGCCCTTCATGGACCGAAAGAAATCCTGCATCATGCGTATCATGAAGATATCTGTCATTTTTCATGACCACTTTTGACCGTCGAAATGGTGACGAAAACTGTCATCATCCTTCCCTGTCTTGCGCTCCAGGTATATATCTATGTAGTAGCGTGACACGCCGAAGCAAAGATGTCAAAAAAGCCAGCCGTTGTTTCTTGGGATTCCTGTGAAAGGGTTATGACTGCCACTTCGCCCCCAGCCTGCGGTGCAATCATCGAAGCGGTGAGTGAAAAGGTCGTATGTGTGACCAGGTGCCTGACAGTGCGGCATCGCGCGTTGCGCCGCAGATATAGATAGATATATATTTATATATACACACATACATCTGTCTCATTGGCACGACAAGCAACAAGATATAGAAGAGGCAAAATCCGTGGTGTCTCGTGACCACAACAGGGTTCTGAGTATGGAAGCCTGTCGCGACTGTTACATACATAAATTTACCCTGCGTCAGTACTGTAACGTGACTGCGCGAAGCTTTGGAGCACCAGAACTGGACCTGAAAACGCAGTAACATCATAGCAGGTTTTTTTGTAACAGCCAGAACGGCGAGGACGTGCTCGCTAGTGTCAGCGCATTCGGCTCCCTGTGTCATAGCGACTCACATAGCCAAAACGCGCAAAGAGAGACGGGGAGAGCAGTTCGTGAGAATTGGCTTGCGCAACAAAACGAAGATGAAATATCGTTGTACACAAAGTATACTGAGGAGTCGATATGCAACAATCGACGGGCGCAAACGCTTGACAGAACCATGTGTCTCCAACAAAGTAGCGGGTGATTTGTCACGCCGACTCGGACTGCGGGGACCACATGTTTCCAGCTGTCATCATCTTCATCACCGCCTGCTTTCAACAGGAGTTTGACACAAGTGCCTTCCTTTTTCCTTCGTTTAGCCACATATTGCCCGACAGGAACCAGGTACACCTTGAATACCTGTGTGCCTGGAACCTTCTGCACTAGTTGCCACAAAGTTTGAGCATTCGTCTGGACGCACTCTTCCTCAGTGGAACTATAGATGCAAGCCGTGCTCTGCAGGAGTTTCAACCCGTATGCGTGATCACTACGACGCAGCAAGAGGGCAGAGCACTTCAAAGAAGCTCTGCGTTTCAAGAAGACATAGTAGCACCTCCTTGCCAAGCGGCACTGTCACGTTCCTCTTTTGGTAAACCTTCTCGCATACCACGGAGACTTTTCAACGGAGTGCTCCATTCCTTGTCAAAGTGGAAACCTGTCTCCTGAGCTTCATTGACGCTGATGTGCTTCCAAAAGCTGATCACATCCGGAATCCGTTCCACTGCGAACGGTACCTGCCACAAGACCGAAGATTCCCCGAGGCTTTCGGTCTGACCAAGCCCGACTTGAAAGACTTGACCAGGCAGAGCTCGGAGCATCCAGTTGACCGCCGAAGTGGGCCCGGCGCAACGGAGCTTGACTCGAAAAGGTATCTCCGGTGTCCCCTAAGCGCTGGCGGAGAACAAGCAATCGGGTGATCTCTTCACACGGATGGCGGAAGCGGTGTGTGGGTCTTGTTGCAAAGCCTCCTCATCTTCCAGGTTCACATCATTGAATGCCACCAAAGCACGGAGTGTGTTGGCGTCGATCTGTCCGTAAGTAAACACCCTGAGTTCCTTTTCCTCTTTCACTTCACGAAGAGCCACCACTGGACATCCGGCATGCATATGGTGATGTGGAACCTTGCGTAGAAGCTTTTCAAAGCAAGGAACGTCATTTCCACTGGTCATCAAACAAGGCTCCATGTAGCGGAGATCAAGTTCCATGACCTCTTGGTATTCGTTGCCTCGAAATGTGAAGCGGCATAGCCACTGCGCACTCCGAACCATGTCACGAAGCTTGCTTCGGAACGGAGTGGTGTCTTGCGGAGTGTCCCACGAAGTCATGTTCAACGTCTTGGCAATGGACAAAAACATGTCGTGGTATTGCACGCTGCACTGAGCATTTGAACCTGCCAAATTCAATCGCGCAGCTAGGCGTCGCTCTGTTTGTGCACTGGGGTGTGCCTGCACGGGTGGTAGGTCGGTTAGATGTCATACCTTTTTTTTCTTTCAAAGAACAACAGGAAACGCAAGAAGACGTGTCAGGCCGTCATGTGATTTCTCAACACCGGCAAGGCGCTGCTCGTTTGTGCAATAAAAAAATCCAACAGCCACTCATCCGTTTCGCTCCGAACCGACGTAATGCCCATGACCAAGCCAATGACCTCCAAGCCTGCTGTCCTGAGTTGGACAGCCATCTCAGCAGCTCATACCAGCTAGAAAAAGCGGACCAACGTGGATAATGCGCAGTGCAAAAAACAATGAGCTCAACAATAAAAGAGGCGGGGCCACATCGTGCCCACGCCAGCTTCCAAACGAGTAACGACAGCGTCATCACATTTGATCCAGCCGGTCTGGCGCTTCACATATGCAACAAAATGCCCATTGCTATATTCACCACCAAACCTGTGACAACATAGAGCGCACCAGTCACATGAGGATCCCGCAAACGCAAAAACATGAGCGTGGACAAAATGAGCAGAGCGTAGTTACAAAACATCAAGCAAATCCAAATCCAAACAAACACTCACTGACCACCATGACAGTATTTGGCAAACTGCGTTATCGCCCCAGTCCTGTTCACCGCACTGTGCTACTAGTTGCTTCCAGTTTATCCAGGCACCCTCGTAGCTTTCCAATTGCAGGATGGCAGCGTCCGAGTTTGGCCATCCGTGTGGAAAATTGCCTCGCATCAACTCTTCCACGGTCACAGACAGCACGACGCTCCGCCTCCATCGGCATCTGGGTCACCGATGGTTCCGACATGTCTGGAGCATATCACATGACGCCACGACGCAATCATCTTTACCTCCTTCGTGTTTCGAAACCCTGCCTGGAAGACCTTCCCCACTGCCCACACAAAAAAAATCGATTGCTGATGCAGGCCTCGCCAAAAGAATTTCACAGCAATCACTACAATCTGCAGCCCGAATTAGGCGGACATTTCACAGCGCCGGTGAGGTACATCTGATGAAGCAAAGACCATGGGGCTATGTAATCCCACTGCTCGCTCCTCAGCCGCTGTGCCACATCTTCCACGCATTTGCGCAACAGCCCTTTCGGTGCAGTCACTGCCAAGTCCCGCTGTAAAGGCTGGCGTGCAAGGATACACTGAACGACAGCGTTCAAGAAGCAAGAGTTCCCCAAATTGCGCAAACCAGTCTGCCAAAACCGGTCCGTGAAACCGGCAGTACCACGGGGCCGACTGCTGTAGTCAAGCCTCCAGTGCAAGCCCAGTTCCCGTAACCACGTGGCTGAAACTTCTTTTGAAAAACTCTCTATCTCCAGATGTTCGTCCACCAATTGCTTCGCAACATTGAACATGTGAGCTTGCTCCAAACCAGTCGCGGCGCGCCTCATACGTGTGTGCCCTGGACGTGCCTCGAAGGTCTGAGGTGGAGCCTTGCTGCGCCCAATACCTCATAGCCTCCAGCACTGCCTTTTCCACAGATTCTTCTTGTGCGCCAGGCTGCTGCCTGAACTGGTTCTCCGCTGCTGGCAAAGCCGTGACGGATATGTTCGCCGCGGCCAGTAACGTCTGGGCATCCTCCGGTGCTTCAGCTTTCGAACTTCTGCTAGGACCGAAGTACGCGTGCCCACTCTTCTTGATATGCGCACGGAAAGTTCCTTTACGTTCTTCCACGCAGTCTTCTCTCCATGGGGCCTTGGCTACAGCAACTTCACCAGTCAACTGTGCGACCGCTGCAGTCATGTTGGCCTATTCCGCGTGTCTGTGTGTCTATTCTGTCCATATATGCCTGCGTAAAAATATCACGGAAGCCAGCCGATAGGCAAGGCTGGAGTTTTTAGGGTGAACGAAGTGAATAAAGGGGGTTTGGGGGGGCTGGTCGTCGCGCAAACTCCGCTTTTGGGAGGTCGAACCTTGAGCCCGGTGGGGAGCGTTCAAAAAGTAGGGTCAGGAAAGCATCGAAAAGGTGGTTTGGTGATGCAAGTGATGTAAGTGACGCCGAGTAGTGCATCATTAGCATCATGAAGGGGCCTGGAGACAATTTTTCTAGTCCTGAGCAGGGCATAGGGACTGTGTAGCTCTGATCATATCAAGAAGGACCAAGCAACAAAGAGTGAACGCTCTGGGAGCGAACGATGTGAGTATGTTCAGTTGGGCGAGGGTGAACTCAAGCCGGGAAACGCGGAAGCGTTCAACACGAAGCTTGAAACGTTTCCCTGACCGCCCATTGACCGTGTCATGCGACGACGTTGGTTTAAAAAAACCGAAGCAACGTCAATCAAGCTGAGAGAACCGTTATAACGACAAACCGTGCCAAAGTAACGTCGCGGATGCCGCTTTCGCGTCGTTGCCTGAAATTTGGCGGCCTTGTGCTTTTTCCCGGCCTTGCGCGAAAAATGGCGGGCGCCAAAAGTGCACGTGCCCAGCGGGTCTCGGAGGGCGACAAGAATTAACGACGCGCGCAGCGCGCCACATGTCATGTCCTACCTTCCTCCTCCCTCTCCTCCCTGTTCATGTCCCCGTCCTCTCCCTCTCGCTCTCCCTCTCCCTCCCCTTTCCTCTCCCCTTTCTCCCTCTCCCTCTCCCTCTCCAGCTGGTCCGGGAGATTCTTGTGTCGTGCTTCCAACTCCTTCCTGGTGCACGCCATTGGAGGATTCGATCTCCGTCATGTCCTTCCGGTATGATTCTCCTCCTCCTGCTTCTTCTTCTCCCGCTTCTTCTTCTTCCTCCGCCATGGATCTTCCTTCAGACTTTCCTGAACATCCTCCCATGATTGTTTGAGGTCTTTTGCCGCTTTCTTCAGCTTTTGGATCATCAGTTTCCTCCAAGCATTGATCAGTTCCCCTTGCCGTCGAGTATTTCTTCTATCTCTGGTGTTGATTTGAGATTCTTCTCTACCAAGCCTGAAACCAACATCGCTTCTTCCAAGCGTCTCTCACCTTCTCTTATTCTTTCTTGTCTCCTTCTCTCCTTCTGCTTCAGCTTCTTGGGCTCTTCTCAACTTTGGATCTGCTTCCTTTTGCGCCGCCAGTTTGTTGAGTGAGCGGTAGTGTCCCTCCCACAAACATTCCCAGGACCACGAATCGATGGTTACTGGGTACCTCCGCCTCTTTCTTTGGTCCGACTTTGAGCCCTTGCTTACTGCGTTTGACAGCCCAAAACAGACCGGCATCCATCACAACATTCCTGGGTGCCACGGCTAGCACCATTATCCCGCCGATATCACAGTACAGCAGGTTTATCCCAAAATGGATCTTCCCATGTTTTCAGTGAAAAGCTGCTTGCCATGCAGGATTGATCCGATGAGAATGAATGAGTGGCACCATGACATCTACCCCAAGACGAACCTCAATGGCGGCTACCTTGGGGATGGCTACCCCATTTGCTCCGAAGCGCCAGAAGGCTCATTTCTGGCACAGGGCGCGCGCTACAACTTCGTGGGTAAGGATGGGAGCATCTCTGTTTTGATAATTTTTTTCAGATGTCATTTTTGTCATTTTTCATGCACCTCTGTTTTTGTTAATCAATTTCAGATGTCATCATCTCTGTTTTGACAATCTGTTTTGTTGTGGTCTCATGCTTATAGATCTTGAGCACACGAATACTTGAAGTCGAAGTCGAAGTGAGTTGGACTTTCAAGTCTACGCCTTGCAGGCACATAGCTTTGCCCGCTTGTGGAGGGTGTCAGAACTGGATCGAACAGCCGCGAAGACTCAAAGTTCCCCACTGTATCCTCGGAAAACACGTCTAAGAGTTCAACATGAGTTCACCCAAACATGGATATGCATCCTTTCAACATCAAGAACAAAGAGCCAACCTGGTGCCAAGGTGTGTGTCTAGTGGTTGAATCAATGGGCAGTTTCTGGCTCCCCTTCGATGTGAGGAGTTGCCCGGAGAGGATTTCAAGGTGCTTCGCCTCGAGCCCACCTCCGAGCTCTACCAAGCCCTTTGCTTCGCAAGCTCAGGGAGCTCGGGTCACTGCAGGTACAATCTCACGGTCCAGTTGGCAGACACGCTGGCTTGTCATGGTGACTCGGTGCAGCAAGTGGAAGGCGGAAGCCACGAACTTGAATGGTTTAGTAAGTTTAATAGATGGCAGAACCCAAAACATGTCTTTTAGATTGGGGATGTCTTTCTGTTTGTGGAGTCTTGTTACCATCATCGCGGGTGAAGCCACACCCATTGCACGCCTGGCCTTTCCACTTTCACCTGTAGCTCGGAAGTGAGACTTTCAGGAAGCAATCCTGGACCCCCATCTAATGGGTGGAGAAGATCTCACTTACCCCACCTACCCTAAATGGCGTGCAGTGTGACGTAGCACATGTAGAGAGGAAGGGTGCAGGCAAGAGTGGCTAAATCATCCTAAATCATGCTTAATCCCCATGTCAGTGTTTCCTTCCAGTGCAGTTTGCGCAATCGAGTTGATTGGGGATTGTTGGGTTTGTTTCGAGTCCTATATCCAATACATGACATGAGGAGTGGACCAGAGTTCTGATTCCAACATCCTAACCTTTTGGGTCTGGGTCTAAGTGCTTTGCATTCACTAAGCTTTCATTGGACTCACTAAGCCTCCGTACGGTTTTCTTCGAAACATGTTTGGAAACATGTCGACACGACACCCGACACACACCTGCGCTACAGGAGCGGAATGCACGCTGGAAGCGAAGGAGGTCAAATTCCTGAATGTTTCAGGCCAAGCGGTGCCGAGCGAGCGGTGTTTAGCGACGGTCAAGCCGAGTATTCAATCATGTACCAAACGACAATCCCCCGATTTGAGGTGGATTCTACGAATATTTGGAGCCCACTTGTGTGAACTTGTACTTCTTCTCTGGAATGTACTCACGACACGGGGGCGAAAACTGGGCGACAGACGCCCAATGCCGCGATGTGGAGCACGAGAAGATGGGATTTGAGTGCTGCGATGGATGTTTCAAATGGTTTCGCACCGATGAGATGAGAGCCAAGGGTTTGCATTGTCATAGTTATCGCGCGTGGCCTGAGATGTATACAGAGAAGTGCAACCACGCCCTTCGCATTTTGACCAAGAAGCTTTTGTGTTTTCGTGTGGTGGGTCTTCTCTCCGTGTTGGGACTTGAGAGGGTTCTGAAAGCGCTTTTTCGAGAAAGCCTTTCTGCCGAAGCCGGCGCATCGAGGACCCTGACTGGAGCTACCATAAATATTGCGAACTCCATTGTTGGGAGAGGGGAGTTGGCTACGGCTACAACTGCTCCTATGGTAAATTCGTTGGGGTACGGCCATGTCAATACAGACGCGAGTTTGTGTCCTTCAAGGAAGCCCAGGCGCGTTGCAAAGCGCTGGGGCTGCCCTTGTGTCGGAGGAACCTGCGAGGCAAGGGTTGTGATTATGACCGAGCGCATGTTTGGATTGACGAAGCATGCACAGAGCAAGTGGTGGTATATCCAGATGGAACCGTTAGCTCCAATTCTACGAAGCTCAGCAAGTTCAACCCCTTCTCGGTGAACTGGAAGGATGGCCGTTGGCCAAAGGTACAGGAGGGATTTTGCCCAGGTGGTTGCTTTGCGGTTGGAACAGTTTGCTCGTGTAACGTGACGTTGGAAGTTCGACCAGTTTTCGCGACTACTCCCACGGCATCTGAGCTGGCAAAACTGAAGATCGGCGCACACCCTCCCACTGAAGATCGGTGTACCAGCTGTGGTGGTGAAGTGCGTGCCTACGGGTCTGGCGATGCAAATACAGTTTTTGAGTATCAGGGCAACTTCTACAGCAACAAGGATACTCTGTCGGGCTGAAGGAAGCAGTTTGTGTTCACTTCCTCGTGTGCTTGTGCATGTGTTCGTGCTTGTCATGTCATACTCGGGCAGATTGCAATCTGAAGTCAGCCACGCCATGGCCGGTCATGCGGCGACCTTTCGCCATGCGTGACCCCACCGAGGAAAATCTGGTGGTCTTCCACGGCGGCTTTGAGTTCAGAAACCCGCCGGTCTTCATGCCCAGGAGCGGTGCGCGCCCAAGGCGCGTTGACGGCTGTGGACGACGATGGGACTGCGCTAGTAGGTTGGAGGCCATTGTCATTTTTTCTTTGCTTTCAACATGCAATGGTTCACGGTGGGGCTGTGAGAGAGGTGACCGCACCTCAGATACCACGGGGACCTGTCCGACCTGTCCCTTTCAAGTCCAGTTTTCGAAGATTTGCAGGGCTTAGCAATGTGGGCTAGATGGCTTGAGAACAGATCTCGCTGAACCCGCCTCAACATCGGTACTGCTGGTTCTGTCGCAACGAGTGTCGGTTCCTTTTGCTCGCCGATCACCGATAGACAAAGCAGTATTCTGGCTGCTGCCCCTGTTGAGGCATGCCTTGGCAGAGGTGGAGGAGCTTCTCGACCATCTCTTCCACCACCCAAATACAGCTCCTGAGATTCACAAGCGGAAAGAAGCCTTCACATGTTTGGTGCATAGTTTGCGGTGAAGCAAGCTTTAGGATAGCGAGTTACTTTAGTGTGATTGTTTTTGTCCCAAACAGTTTACTGTTGGGGTCCTTCTTAGGAAAACAGGAGCTGGCCACACTGGCTGGCCGCGGCCCTGAACTCTGTGTCCGGGCTTTGTGTCCAGGTCTTGTTTTGCTGTTGTCCTCTGGCCACGCTGGCCAACCTGTGTCCTCCTCTTGTCCTTCTCATGTCCTTCTCTTCTTCTCTTGTCCTCCTTGTGCTCGCAGTTGTCCTGCTATTGCCCCCTGGCCGCGCTGGCCAACCCTGTGTCCTCCTCGTGTCCTTCAAGCCTCTATGCTCAAGATGGCCAACATGCCAGCCCCCCAGTAGCGGGGTTTCGATCCCGCCACACGCTCTCGCACGACTTTGAATGGTGGCCGCTGGCTTGTTCTTCCAGCTGCTGCTGATCGGTTGGCTGCTTCTTGGGCATCCCGGTCCCAAGTCCGGGCGTGGACCACGGTGCCTCAGCGAGTCTTGGCAAAGTTTTTGGTCCATGAGAGGTGAGGGTTCCTCTGGTCCACGACAGAGGGAGGAGGAGACCCGACCGGTCGCGTTACCCCTGGTACCCTCCAAAAGAACTGTGGAATAGGGCAAATAGTAGGCCCCACCGGGGCACAAGGGCTCAGCTCAACCTGGAGCACGAAGAAGAGCTTTAGGAAAGCGGTGCACCGCCTGCTGAGAGATGGCTGCACTTCATACAAAGGCCGCCTGTGGATGACCACCCAGCCGAGCTGTTTGACACCACCCCTGGACGTCCCAGCATCTCCTTTGATGTCAAGCGGCTCCAACCTGCATGCGACCTGGACGACTTTTCCCTTCCTGAACCGGCCTGAGACCTTGCATCAGAAGACTGGCGGGCCACGCTGCTCCTTTCTGTCCTGGAACGCAGGAGGGCTCACCAGCGCCACTTGGCAAGAGCTCATGGTGTACTTGAGTCATCATGCGGTTGACATTGCATGTATTCAGGGCACACGCTGGCATCTCACCAAAGATTGGAGCACGCATGGGTATTGGGCCCTTTCGGCCGGGACAGAGGACCGTAGAGACCATGGAGGATTGTTGACCCTGGTTCACCATCGCTTGTGCGGCCAACAGGACCTGTCAAGTTCCTCGCCCACACCTGGTCGAGTTCAGCATGTCAAATGCCGGCTGGCTCAGACGACTCTCGAAATAGTCCAGGTATATCAATACACCACTGAAGTCACCTCCACAAGAGCTAAGCCATTTGATAGCCGAGCTGAGGTCTGGTCCTCCTTGGACACCATCCTCACACACCTCCCTATCAGGAATGTTCTTGTTGTAGCTGGAGACTTCAATACTGACCTCCACAAACAACCCCATGAACCGCAGGATGGCTGGGAACTTCGTGAGCTCTGCCGCAAGCACACGCTTGCAACGGTTCGGCCCTATGACCATGCACACACCTTCGAAGGTCCTGGAGGCAAGTCCACAATTGATCATGTCCTCATGAGACGATGTCAACAGGATAGCCAGGTTAAGCAAAGCCGAGTCTTTCAGTCATTCCCGGTGGCAGGGTGGAGAGCACTCCGTGACCATATGCCGATCCTAAGCAGTCTTCCTGTCCACTGGAAGGTCTGGCGTAAGCTTCCCACGACTCGGAACCGACGCTGGACTTGGCACCAACGCCAGGACCTCCAGCAGCACTACCGGGCACAAGATGACGCCTGGCAGGAGTTCGTGCCTCAAGCCCAGGCCCGCCTGCAAGTTCAGCATCCGACATGGTCGACCCTTGAGCAGGTCAGTCACTGGTCGCATGACTACTGGATCCCCACCTGTCCCCCCTGCCGCACTGAACCTGATTGGAGACACCCGGCCAGTCACAGGTATGCCGCCACCATGTGGTCTCACTATCATCAGCTCAGGCGCTTGGTAGTCACTGACCTTCGTTCGAGTTTCCAAGCCTGGACTCACGCCACCATCCATAGTCGACTGCATAAAGCCATGACTGTTCATGCCCACAGACAGAAGCAGGATCGGTTCCAAGAGCAAATGCACCGAGCCGCGCAGGCCGATAGGGCTCATGATCAACGTCAACTCCACATGATAGTCCGTGAACTTAGCCCTAAGCAGCCGTCTCGGCCAATTAGATTCCGCACAGCCACAGGGCTAGCCCAAAGCCCTGAGGTCGAACTGGACCTCCTTCGACAGCATTTCGAGACCGTCTACTGTGGGTCCACCCCTCAGATGCCTGGCCCATCTGTCCGTCTGTCGAGCATGCCTTTCACTGCAGATGATCTCCGATACAATCTGGCACGCGTTCCTTTGACCAAGGCAGTGGCTCCAGGCTCCCTGCAACCTGCCGTGGTCAGATGCCTAGCCGATGACCTTGCCCAGATCTGTCATCAGTTGCTCGTTCGTGAGTGGTGCCATCGTAAGGTCACGATTCCGCAGCACTGGCAGGCGGCCTGGCTAACCCTAATTGCAAAAAGGGCAGTGCAGACCCCGAAAGATGTCAGGCCTATCGCCTTGACGGATGTCCTGGGCAAATGTGTGCTTCAAACCTTGATGCAGAAGGTCCGGCCGCATGTTTTGCCAAGTCTCTGTCAAGCTCCATTGTTAGGCTACTTACCCAATAGATCCACGATAGATGCCTTAATAGCGGTCTTTCATCACTGCCGTGCTGTTCGTGCCAGGAGTCAGAGCGCCATGAAAAATTTGTGGCAGAGACGAGCAGGGGAAGCGCCCCGTCGAATAGGAGGGGGACTGTGTCTGAGCTTGGACCTTTCTGAAGCTTTCGATCGAATGCCTCGTGATAGACTAGGTCCTGGACTAGATCAGGTAAACTGCCCCCCCGACCTTAAAGTCCTGCTCCTGGCCTGGCTGCATGGTGCAGCGTATCACATTGACCACCGGGGTCAATCCTGCCAGTTGGTACCCACCAGGGGAACACGCCAAGGCTGTGTGGCCTCGCCCCTCCAGTGGAACGTTTGTTTGCTTGACATTCTAATGCAATTTCTTGCTAGCATTGACCAGCCGCTGGAGTGGTTGAGGGCCCATCTAATCTCGTATGCTGATGACTTAGTGCTGAAATGGGAGTTTGACCATCTTGAGGATCTCCCCCGAGCACTGATAGACATCGGTCATCTCCTTGATGTCCTTGAGGCCAATCAACTAGTGGTCAATCTGCGGAAGACTGCCTGTTTGCTTCGGATGTCGGGCTCGAAGGTGGCGGGACTATTCAAGAGATGGACCAAACACAACAAAGGAGGCCGCTACCTCATTGTGCCCCGCCAACAAGGGGATTGCCTCATCCCATGGGTCTCACAGCACACCTATCTAGGAACCAAGATCAGCTATGGTCCTTTTGAGATGCAGACATTAAAGCACCGCATTCATGTCGGTCGACTGACCTACACTCGCCTTAGAGCATTTTTCCAACGCCGGCACGGGCACGCGTTTAGCCTGGGGAGTCGAGTCCGCCTGTGGACGAGCTGTGTCCGGGCCTCGTATGTCTACGGCTTGGCCGCCAGTGGCGTGACATCGAAAGGAGTCGACTTGCTTGAGACAGTTTGTACCACAGATCTCCGCAGAATCGCACGTTCACCCTCCCACATCACACGTGAAACCACTGAGGCCCTGCGTTCTCGATTGGGAGTTCCCAGCATCAGGGACTTCCTTCGCGATGCCTGGACCAGATTCAGAGTTGATCGCACAGGCCTCCTCAGCGCATTGGCACCTGATGATTTCCTGCACACACTGCTGTATGCATCGCACTGTGATACTGTGTTGGAGGCATTGGTGCCTAAGCAGCCAGTCGACGCAGAGGCTCCTCCAGTCAGCTGGCAATGCCCGCATTGTTCGACATGCATGCCATGCACATGACCCTGATGCAACACATCACTCGAAACCATCCTGCACAAAAGATGGCTCCTCAACCGTTTCGAATCTTTCGTGATGCTGCAGGTGACATGCCGCAATGTCGACACTGCGGCGGCCAGTTCCAGCTCTGGTCAGGCCTTGTCAAGCACATCTCCCTGGGCAGATGTTTGAAATTCGATGCCGCCCTGCAGGACCGTCCATGTCCAGCCGATGATCCTGAACTCCGACAGGCAGCCAGACAACAGGATTGGCTGGGGGTGGTGAGTGTGCCACGGCTACTGGACCTGATACGGAACAAGTGCATCCTCTGTGCCCAGTGGCAACCTAGTGGCACGGCTATCCATGAACACCTGAGCCGAATGCGCCACAAGGTTTGGCATGCTGCACAGGCCTTCCTCAGCCCTATTGCTAGAGCCGTCACCACCAGCAGACCCTGCATTGGTTGTGGCAACAACACCAATCGTCTCCACTCCTGCCCGGCGGCCAGTCAACTGGCCATAGTGGCTTACCTTGAACACCACCAAATGAGAGGCCATGAAGTGGTGGATGAACTGGTTGCCCCTCCCAGACCATCCCAAGGGAAGCTTTCCCAGACAGCCCTACGTGCCCAGGCTGGCCCCGAAGTCACCGAAGCCACCTTCCAGCCGGCCCGTGACTCAGCCAATGGCACCACACAATGTGCCCACTGCGGCAACACCTTCAACAACTTCTATGGTCTCCGCATGCATGTGGAATCCCTGGCCTGCAAGAGATTCGATGCGAACAGGGGGGCTGGTGATCACGTCCCCCAACAATGGCAATGGGTTCAGCAGCTATGTGCTCGCGGCAAGCCCTCAGATTGGCTGACAGATCCCCGCTTGAGGGATGCACTCCAACAACAATGCGGCCTTTGTGGCAGACGCATCCAAAACACCACGGGAATAGCCAAGCACATGTATCACGGCCATGCCGACACCATGGCTGCAGCCCAGGCCTGGATCCAACACGCCTACAGTCAGGCTCCTCCAGATGCCCCACACTGCTACTGCCCGGTGCCACGCACAGCCAGATCGGGTCACAAATGTCCAGTCATCTTGCAAGCTGGCGTATTGGGCCATCTCTTTCAGCCACTGCTGCGACCGCAGGTACCGGCTGACCTGAAGGCATTGCTCACTGCCGCCAACTATGCCACCATTTGGCGCCAACCGCACCTGCGCCCGAGCCTCGAAGAGCACTGTCTGGCATGTCAACACCTGCCGGTGGACGACCTCCCTAGCCAGCTGGACAACAACCATCCCATCGATCATGTACTCATCCAGTCCATGTATGACCAAGTGCAATGCCCTGGCTTGGGTTGCTGCCGGTGGTGTATGCGGGCTCAAGACATTCCGGACAAGTGTCCTGTGGCACTGAACCTGGCCCACTACCTCCGGGCGAGTCAATCAGATGGACTACATGGAGGACACCGACTGGATGGAGCAGGTCCAGGATGCGGTGGGCGGACTCCTTGCCCGCCCACCGCTGAAGCGAGCCAAACCGGAGGAGGACGCAGAGGATCGACCCGACGGGCACCAGAAGGGAAAGGGCAGGGGCAAGGGAAAAGGCAAAAACAAACACCCGGACACCCACCAGCCCCAGATGCAACAACTGGTGGCGCTCCAACAGACAGTGGGACAGCTGATCTCGCTGTCGCTGAGACACGAATCACAATTGCAGGCGCTGGCCAGCACAGACCAATTTCTGCTCTTCTTGCCAGCAGGCCCCGTGTCTCTGATGCCAAACATCCTGCAGCACACCCAACAGTGGAAAGACCAGCAGACCAAGGGCACCACCACGCAACCACTCCGCGTGGTTCTGGGCCAGATGGTGATCCAAGAGATCCTCGACCGCTTCACGAAGCTCCAATCCAAGGATCACCAAGATCCACTGTGGCAGAAGGCGATACAGCAGAACCTCATCACGCCAGAGGGATTGTGGCCCTTCCTGCAGTGGGATCCGACGCAGAAGAAGCTTCAAGTGTTGCCCAACAAGACCCCTATCAAGGGGGAGAAGATTCAGAAAGCCTTGGAGGATCTGTTGGAATGCATGAAGAATCCGGCACTCCTCCTGCGCTTCAAGAGCCTCCAGCCCCCACAGACCTCCAAGAAGACAGTGATCCCCTACCTGATCCAGGTCAGTTTGCGGGACAATCACCTCTACGACACCCTGCTGTGGCTGAGTCACAACTCAGTCTGGATGCTGGTGGAAGCCAGACTCCGCCAACACATGGTCCGTCCGACGCAGCTGGTGAGCCAAATCCTCAAAGGTCAGGGTCGAGGTGGCCGCTCTACCTAGACCAGGGTCTGGCAACGGTGATGGGGTGGAAGCTCATCAATCAGCAGAACGCTTGCTGGCTCAACGCCACAACGGTCTCCTTCCTATGGGCCCACCTTCAATGCCGAGGCCCCGAGAGCTGGAACCGATGGGCTCGATCTTTGATTTGCGCCTGCGGCCCAGCGAGAGGATCCAATGGGCCTTGGCGGACAACACCGCCCTCAACGAGGCGCTTCAAGAAGCGGCGGATCCTGAGCTTTACGCTGCTGCCGGAGAGAGCGCTGCTGCTTTTGGCACTGAGCTGCAGCGGCACGAGGTCTGGGAAGGCCTGGAAGAACCAGACTCCCTAGACCAGGGACTAGCTGACTTTCTGGCCCAGCTCGATGCTAGTTGGCCAGCCTAGCTTTTTTGGAAGTGCTCCTACCGAAGGAGCGGGCCCAGCCTGACGGCCGTCCTCAAGAGACGTAGCCCCGCAGGCGTCTGAGCGATGCCGCGAGCGAAACAAAACAAAAACCTCGTGTCCTTCTCTTGTCTTCTTCTTGTCCTCCTGTTGTCGTCTGTCCTCCTCTTGTCTTCTTCTCCTCCTCTTGTCCTTCTCTTGTGCTCCTCACCAAAAAATAGTGCTGAAACTATTTGGGGTCTATGCTGACCTAGTTTTTGATAAGCCATCAGCCATCATTGGGTTCCTTTTGAGAAAGATTGCTGGAATGAAGGGTTCACTTTTGGGGAGTCGAGAAAACAAAGTAGGCACTACGTCCTGATTATCCTGATTTGCTGAGTGCAAGAGGTGTTTTGGTTCTGCAGTTCCATTGAGAAGATTCCCTATCTCCACGTCTGAAGGCGTTGTACTCGTACGTTGTATGTCCTACAAATCTTTATTAGCTGCAGGCCTTTGTTTAAAGGGAAGTCTTCGGGGGCAAACCATGCCATCCCAAACATCAAGAGTTCCAGAGTTGCTTCTACTTGTCACTGAGACTTTGCCCCCGGTACATGATCATAGTTGGTTGAAGGAACCTCAACATCCTGATGTTCCGCAGAAGAACTCTGGACCGCAGCAGGTTCTGCCGTCCATGTCGCGTCCCCCTTAGGCCCCCTTCATCAGCCGCTTGCTGATCCAGCGCTTTGGCGCCAGCAGTCCCTCTCAGGAATACATCCTTGCTGTGGCCAATGCATTCAAGACAGGAGACGTGGGGCATTGGTTTCGGGAAATCAAGATCAAAACCACAACAAATCTAAAGCTGTCTGTATATATATATATATAACTAAATTAGAGGAGGCATGGCAATTAAGAGACACTGAAAGACTTGTCGATCATCCAGCGATATTTGTTCAAGTCCTGTGGTGCAAGCAAATTCCGCTCCATCGCACTTTTCTTTCAGAAGTAGACATTGTATAAATAGGCTGCACGGCTACACATGGGAACCGTTTGTCTTCCACCGCACATTTCATGGCATGCCATGTGAGCAACTGCATAATTTCACGGAAGAGCATGGAAGAGCAATCTAGTCATTCACTTGCGATTTGCTTTGTGGCAACGGAGTTGCTTCCCGAATGAAACGGGACCCGGAAAAGATGAACACCAAGTTTGTCATTATGATCAGATCAGTACAATCAACCGTTCATGTTTGTACACCATTGTGTTGGCAACAAATAGGAACCAGTTTTTTGCAGGTTGTGAATCATCTCCAAATCAGCGTCGGGCATTTGGTTGGTTTCCCCAACCCCTCAGTGTGGTAAATCGAGGAAGCTACAATGGGAAGACCTACTCTGGTCGCTATGGAGACCTGGCAGCGACCCTTGCAGCGATTCTGCTGCACCGTGAGGGCGGGTCGCCTTTGGCCCGCACGGAGGGCGCGCTTCGGGAGCCCATTCTGAAACTGGTTCATTTGATGCGCTCGTTGGAGTATAGAGACCTCAAGGAGTGCAATTTGGCTTTGTTAAACTGGTTCCCACAGGCTTTGTTCCCCCCATGATCTGTGTGATCTGTGCGCTTTCAACACGTCAGAGTTCAGCTTCGTTTCCAGGACCGGCCAGTGGTTTTGGGGGACCTCCAGGACTTGATGGGACAATTGCCGTATGCCGCTCCAACGGTCTTCAACTTCTACCATTCAGACTACCGGCCTGACAGCTTTCCCGAGCGAATGGCCGCGCCGGAGTTCGAAATCTTCGACCCACCGAGAATCGTCAACTTCATGAATGGGAGACTTGACGAATGGGAGACCAAGCGCTGGGATGGGACACCTGAAATTTCTCTTTGAGACCAAGACCAAGCGCAAAAGGGACGGTGGTTCAGAGAATGGACAGTTGTTCATAGAGTCACTCAACTTACCCTGCCGATGCCCTACTGGACTTCTAGAGCTTTTGCCTCGCTCAATGCAACAGGAGGCTTTCAACAGGAGGCTTTCCATCCTTTCCACAGTTCTGTGTCACCGCTGCATCAATCCAATGTGAGGCAAAGCCATTCCTTTTGAATGTGCTGTGGCTGTTTTTCCGCTGCGTTAGTAAGATGGCCCACTTCACCAATGCCTCCGTTTGTATTTACAGTATTTTACAGTAATCTTGAGTGTGCCTCCTTCGTAGCCCAGTTGAACTGGGGGTGCAGTTTCCGTCGTAATGATGGATGCAGCAGTCCAAAGAGGACGCAACAGCTTTACAGCAAAGGTGAGTTAAGACGAGCTGGTCGACCTGAATCCCTGTCGTTTCGACATGGCTTAACAGGCCGTAACGGCCGTAGGATTGATTCGAGGTCAGGTGACCACATGCGGAACCAGGCAAGGTCCGCCAGGTTTTGAAGGTTGCTCCCTTTCCGTCTGGTTCCCCTTCATTCGCAACCACATACTCTCCTTGCTTGGGTTTCATGTTTTTCCTGCCTTCGTGTCTCTCCCTTGCATCCCTTTCCCTATTTGTTGCACATTTGCTCGGGCCTTAGCGCGCCTGTGCACACCTACTTACACGTCAAAACAGCCTGAGGCCCCCCAGGTTTTGCTTGACGACGACGTTTGGGCGCCTCACCTGATCCAATGAAGCTAGGTCACTGGAAGGGAAGTGGTTGGGCTGCCCATTTGTATCGCTGGCGCTGTCAGTTCTCTTCTCTTTTCGGCGGCCTTCATACGTACTCAGTCTCGAGTGTGCGTGTGTATGTCTGTGTGCGCGTGCGCGTTTGCACCGCACTTTCGGTGTGTCAGGATTTTGTAACTGAACATGGGGCATGTTCTAAGGAGAGTTACATACTGGGGTACTGAGGGTGGCACACCTTTTCAAACCACAGAATATCAGGAGAGCAGCGCAAACAAATTTAAGAATCCAATTGATCCTGATTATGGGTCATTGTTGCTCAAATGCGAAGTGAGCTTGCGAACGTCATGGCTTGTGCTCAAGAGGGTGAGGTGGGTGGGTGTGTTGGTGAAGATGCAAACTGTGCCCATTCGTGATGTTGTTCTACACGTGTCAGCCACACCTGACGTCGCGGTACTTGGCGTGCATGACTGTCAGGAAGACAAACCAGCTGGGATGTCCAGCAGAAGTAGGCGTGGACTTCAGTCGGGCTAGGCCTGAGGCGGTCACTGTGCATGCAACAAATTGCGCATCGGATGTCCATGCACACAAACCCATCAGGGCAATAAAAAGTAACAAGTTTTTCGTTCTTCCTTGCTTTGTTTATGTTGATGAGAGCATGAAGCTGCGAAGTTTTCTCTTTAAAGTCGGTCGATACACTGGCCAAGCCAATGAGCTTACTCTCATGGCTTTGACGGTCAAGATTTGCCAAGAAGATCCACCTCGTGCTAAAGTGCCACCCCTCAGGCGGTTGTTCTTCGAAAGCTACACCTTGGCAGCAGCTGACATGCGGAGCCGCCTTGATAGGAAAGACTGTGATGAGCCTAGGCGCTTGGCGCAAGCTGAGAGAGCCTCCCGCCACGCATCTCAAGTTACTCGCTTGAATAGTCTTGACTTGACAGGTGAGCTAGAACCTTCACATGCCTTGATAGACACGGTATTTCCAGATGTTGGAAGACGACGCCCTCTGATACATCCGGTGGGAACAATGTACAAAGAGGGATCAGGAGCTGATGGGGACCAAGAGCGACCCTACCTGAAAGCCAGATAGTTAGGGCATCATGTGTGAAGTCAAGGTGAGAGAGGAGATCAAGCTGATACTAGCACTGACCTATGTCTCAAGTATGCTCTCCAGCGTCGAAGGCTGGCGTTAGATCAGGCGCGCATTGTCAATCGCAACAAGATGGAGCAGTGGACCAGAATTTTGCTTGAAGCTTATGCAGCTGCCCCGATTGAAAACTTCTAGCGGGTAAGCGTTGAGCAAGTGCAAATGGCTGACATGGAGTCTTCAAGTAACCCTTGGAAAGAGGGTACGGGCATGGTCTTGAGGGTTCCGAAAGCGGAGGAAAGGGTTTGCTGGATGCTGCTTCACAAACTTGTTTTATGGGCTCCGAAAGCGACGTTAGACTGTCGGGTCCGCACTGGGAGGAAAATATTTGGATGATTTGTGGTCTCGAATTAGATGGTGGAAAGTTGTGGCGGAGCAGATTGCCGGGAGCCTTG